GGGGGGGGGGGGGGTTAGGCTCGAGGGCATCACTTCAGTTATAATACAACTTAAACACTATTTATATGTATTTAGTGTATGTGTTTGGAATACATAATTCTAAACTAGAACCCCCGCGTTATGTTTTTTTTCAGGGGTCCTCAAACACAAAAGAAAAAGGATGAATGAGAGAGAATATGAAACCATACGTACATTTACATATTTTCAAAACTTCATGTATTATTTTTAATGAATATTTATACATTGCCTATTTTAAAAAAAAAAAAATTTGATAATTTAAGTATTCATTAAACAAGACATCTTAAATGTATGAGAACCGTTTTTTTTAAACAAAGCTCAGCTGTGATATTTTAATTGCGTTATCTCTGTTACAATAATATATTATTACATCATAAGCTACAAATTGTTAGTTTCGTATTTCCTAATAAGTCATTTGTCCTTGAAATTGTTACCTGGATGTAATTCACGTTATAAAATATCATTGTCTTATGATTATGAGCAACCTAGTTTGTTAAATTTTTTATTGATTGATTAAATTGTGTGACATAAAAGAGGTAAAATATAGCGTCTAAATGTACAAGATAAATAATGGGCTGGTCCACTGTTCCGGTATTAAACAGAAACTCATCCCTCTCCCCCATAGACAGCGACGAGGCCATGACAGGCAATTCAGGCTCATACCAGCAAGAAGCCAGGATATGAGCTGCTCATTTCTGCCCAAGACAATCAGGGACTGGAACAAGCTTTCAAAAGGAACAGTTGAGGCGACAACACTAGACACATGTGTCTATTGCCTCAAGCCTTCAAACCCCCCATTGCATGATTCCCTCACAAAGTGGCACTGGAAATCAGTGAAATGTCCTCATCAACACCAGCACAGAAACATTGCATATCCCCTATACATACATAGGAGCCAGAATGATCAATAAATTGATCGTGGGCCCTTAAGACATAGAGGAAGAAGAAGCTTAATATGAGTTAGTCACGACAACACGTGAGGCCCTCCTTTTTTGAAAACACTTTTTATTTTTAAAGCTGTGCAAAGAACAAAGTTTTGAACATTTTTTTGTCAGTGTTCCAACTGTCACAGGCACATTTTAAGATATTTTCACGATTTTCTTCAAATTTAAACCTTTCTTTAGAATGAGTAAAATGCGCACAGTTGTATAATTTTCTTTTATATAAATTTAACTTTTTCCTGAGACTTCTTCGATTTCGGCGCCCCTTTCCAACTTCAGATTTTTCCCCAGAGGCATTTTGCACACATGGCAAAAACTGAAATTTGCACTCATTTCAAGCTTGAGAAATATATTTTGATATAAATTAAGATTTAGAAAAAAAAAATCAGATTTATTTTCACATGGATCCACATAAGACTATAATTGTATTCATTTAAACGTAAACCCAAGCGTATAGTTATTTAAATGTATTTCACAAAATTTTGATGGGCTGGTCGATTTTGCGCCGCCTTCAGTCGCTGTGCTGTGTCTCTGTTCAACTCTAGTCCGTCAGAAGTGTTCCTACCCCTAGCACTGTGCCTCCCATTCACACTGTGTCTCAGACAAGACCCTCTGATTGGCGAATAAAGCTCCGCGAAGAACATTATATTTATATTTAAACGGAAGGTCTTCAAAACTTCGTTTAATTGAAACATTTTTCAAAACTTCGTTTAATTGAAACATTCTGAATTTAGACGTATTAATGTTTTTACAATTAATTTTATTCTCAAATAAAGTTCCTAAAAAGCTCCCGTAGCTAACCAGGTGCACATCTAGGCTACTTGGCGCCTATGGCAAAATGGGGAGGGGAGAGGTCAGAAATTTTGTGTAATATGCATTATTATCCATTGTTCAAATTTAGTGCTACCTTGAAAGACTTTGTAGTGCATGTTTAGGAGAGAAAGAGAGGGAGAGAGAGAGCGCGCGAGAGAGAGAGAGAGAGTGAGAAAGTGAAAGAACGAGGTAGAGCGAGAGAGAGATAGAGCGCGAGAGGGTTAGAGAGTGAGAGAGATCAAGCAAGAGAGAGCGAGAGAGAGAGAAGGGAGAGAGAGAGCGAGAGAGAGAGAGAGAGAGAGAGAGAGAGAGAGAGAGAGAAGGGAGCGAGAGGGAGAGCGAGAGTGAGAGAGAGCGTGCCATAGGATCGAGCTCCGCACCCCACTCGCTACACCACTGCGTCCGTGGATTCAGGCAGACCCCACCCGCTAATCCCCAGGAGGTGTGGTTATGATATCAAAGATTGTCTACGTCATCCCACTTATGGCCTCCAGTCCTAGTCAAATCCTTGCGAGTCAGCATAATAAGCAGGGCTGGCACTAGACATTTTCAGGTTGGGTGAAAAGAGGCAATTGTAGCCTTCTGGGAAATTATGGAAGAGTTCAGAATTATTTAATTTTTTTTTATTTTAACAAATTTTGCCACCCTTGGCACCTGTGTGATGATCACGCATCGTACCTGCCTTGAGCCGGCCCTGATAATAAGGGTTCATCTCAAAAGCGATCTAAGGGCAGAGGAGTTGTCAAACTTCCTTCTCCATATAGGAATAGGATATGAAGGTTTACAGGAAGAAGATGGGTCGGTTCTGTGAAATATAAGCACGTCGATTACCTGGTTGCGTGCATATAAATTCCAGGTGAGGTGGTGTATAGGTCTACATAGGGTTTTAACAAAATAATCTGATTGTTGGTTGACTTACAACTCATGACTATCAATGTACAATACAGAGCAAAGCAATATGTATTTTTTTAAAAACTTCGCTGCCAATTACATTTTCATCACTTAAGATTACCCCCCCCCCTTTTCTAAAAAAAAAAAAAATAAAAAAAAAAAAAAAAAAAGAACAACTAAAAAAAAAAAAAGCAATAAAAGAATAAAATAAATAAATTTCCTTAACTTTTCATTTTTCAAACCTTTTTATTTTTAAAATAAGCTACTTTTCATAATTCAAACACCTTTGTAAAGCAAGGTACCGGTACCCGGTATTAATAATTAAATAATGTTAATTAAAATTTCTAAATGTATAGGTTAGAATTAGAATAGTAGACGTTAAAGATATTGGGCATATTTCCTTCAAAGATTGCAATCTTTTCTTAAATCGACTTGAACTGAATCTAAATGAGTGCCTTCAAGCAGCACGATTTGTACGCCGCTGCTTTACACATTATAATATACCGAATCACTCCATCCCAAAACTTTTAAACACCATCCTTCACCTTTATCCCCTTGAACTTGGGGATCTGTTTAGTTCTTCAAGTTGTTGACAAAAAGTTGTTACCCATTTAAATTTTATTGTACTTTTGATTTTGAAGTATTCAGCATCATACTTAGCAATGAATTCCTTAAACTTAAAGCTTTTACGAAAACTGCCACTATTCCGACAGTGCTGGATTTCAACAGGGTAACCGTTCAGCGTTTAAGTTTAAGTTTAGTTATCGAAGTGGCTTTTCGGACCCGGCTACCAAAAGTAAGAGGTTGGGATTAAAAAATGTTTAAAACATTATTGTTGGGTAGTAAGATACAATTTGGTATCGAATGAAAGTTAATTGAATGGACTATATGTTTGTCAACTTAATTCTTCAGTTAAACTAAAATAAACTGCCACAAATGACACCCAAATAGCATTTAGTTTTAGACCTGGGTCCCATTAGACCAAATATTCACATGACACATGAGATGTCATTTGTGGTAGTTTATTTTAGTTAAACTGAAGACTTAGGGCTACAAATATATAGTCCATTCAATTATCTTTCATTCGATACCAAATTTTATCTTACAAACCCAACAAATATATTTTAAATATTATTTAATAAATAGGCAGTGTCTACACGTCTGGACGTATATCTCCCGCACTATTTGTCCGGCGACCAAGTCACATGACCGCCGGAAGAATACTTTATAGAGATATTTGTCCGACGACCAAGTTACATAACCGTCGTAACAAGTGGCGAGAGATATTTGTCTGTCAGCCTTGTCACGTGACCGCGAATGATTCAAAACTATTGTTATTCTTAAAATCTGTTTCTCTACCAAGTAATGTATGGAGTATCTTGCAAACAAATAATAGAAAAAAATACTTGGTTATATTACCAAAACAAAGTGGGGGTTAAGTAATTATGCATTCTAGAAGGAAGCAATGCTGAGAGGGAGAGAATTACGGTAATAAAAAATACGAATGCTAAAAAAATAATAGTAATAGTGAGGGTGATAAATAATTAAGTTTAATAATAGCGGGGAGGCCGATAGTTTACCAGTACAAAGAAATAGACCCTACTTTTTAATATAGGGCCAATATAGTGGTAACTTGGTCTACGTCTCATGCAATACTAAATACTAATCCTGAAATACAACTTTATTGACATAGGTCTATTGAAGGCTACTGGTCTTATTTTATTTGGTTCATATTTTAAATTTGGGCTTCAAGGTAGAGCTTTACAAGATGTATTAACCAAGATTAGGGACTTTTTCTTTGACTTTGAAGAGTTGGAATCAAATAGACTAGTACCGGTAATAGTAGTAGTAACAGTACTACTGGTTAGTATATAGGCCGACGAGTTAAATAATCAAAGTCAAACACTTTATGTATGTTAGAGCATTTGATTATATTAACATGTTCAGCATTTATTTATTATCTAGGGATCGGAATATCAAATTCAATGCAACTATTTTGCCGGAGACCACTTGTTACATGACCTGCCGCAATAATAATGCACTACCAGTCGTCCGGCGGTCACGTGACATGCTCGCCGGACATATATCTCCCACACTATTTGTCCGGTGCGCCGGGCGTGTAGACACTTCGTTTTTAATAAACCCATTCTCTTACTTCTGATACCGGGTCCGAATAGCCGCAGCCTTAAATTATTATTATTTATTTTATAATAATTATAATATAATATTAATTTAAATGTTTATTAAAATGTACTGGTGTATTATCTGTAACCCTACTGTAGTGCTTAGACTTTAATTTGTACTGCGTTTTATTACCAGAGGAGCTATCACCAAGTAAGTATAATTTATATAAAGTAAAAGGGATATAGTTACTCGACACAATCTTCAGTCTAGTGTTTTCCTCTAGTGACAATTTCATTAATATTTGAATTTATCTATGAATGCAACAAATACAAAGCACAAAATATTCGTTAATTATATCTTTTTAATTTACGCTTATGCATAGATTAGATGTTTGATCTCATAAAGTTAAAGAGGCATCATGTGGGCCCTGCACCTGGGCCACCAAATTTTAAGGGGTGTAAATTGTAAAGTTGTAGTGTGGGAAAAAATTTGAACTATCTACTTTGCATGCAGTTTTTTGCAGGGGGCACAAAACCGAAACCTTGCATGGGGTCCTCCAAAAGTCTTGTGACGGCTCTGCTCTCATATTAGTCTTATGATATCCTATACAATAATGTGTATACTAGATGAATAGTCCTGATAGCATGGTAAATATTTATTGACATTATTTTATTGGTAAGGAATACTCAGTCCCCTAAATATGACCACTGGTTATTTGATGGTCCTAACATTTTTGCTGAGAACAAATACTTGGTTCCTAAATGAAATGAGATTTTTTTGCTATGATGCATCATGATTGTCTAAAATGTTTACATAGTCTGCAGGATTGCGAGTGTTAAAGCATAACGTGTAGGCATAGGCCCCTAAAGACACATTTTCTTTTTCTCTCTAGGTATGTCATGCATGCCCAAATGAGGCACAGGCACCACAATCACATCCAGCATAATCTTGGACTGTCTTTGCAATATGAAGAAGATGTCGCAGTTATCCATCTTAATAGTGGATCAGATAATCGAATCAACCATACTTTCCTTAAAGATCTTAACTCTTTACTGGATTCTGTTATTGGGTAATACTTTCTTACTAATTTTTCAGGTAACCTATAACAAATTATTTTACAATATTCATGTAGGCCTACCGCTATACCGGTACCCACAAAATTTTGGAAAATATGAATATAATTTATATTATAATTATAAAGAAATAAAATTGGCAATTTTATTTTCATAAGTTTAATTGAGTGTACTTTCAGTTATATGGTTTGAGCTGTTATGTATTTGGAACAAAATATTTATTATTGCCAGTTTTAAAGATATTTAAATTTTCTTTTATTATCATTACATAGCAATTCTTCCTGTAAAGGTCTGGTAACAACAGGAGAGGGCAAATATTACAGCAATGGCCTTGACCTTGAATGGATGGAAACAATATCTGGTCAAGAGCTCATAGAATTTATGCATGATTTGCAAAGGCTTTACCTTAAAATTCTTCTATTTCCGCTTCCAACTCTTGCTGTTCTGAATGGTAAGTAATGATTGTTGATTACAATTATATTTTACCAGGCATGTTGATTTTGCTCAGAATTTAAAAAACTAACCAGCATCAACCATTAAACAAAATATTAATCACTGAATTCCATATGCTTATGAAATAAATGACTTTGTGTTACTGATAATAAATAGGCACTTATAAGATTAAATATTCTTGGATTTGAGTTTGATGAACTCAGATTAAATTTTTAATTTAAAAATATTTTCAATAGGTTAAGATTCAGAAAATATATGAAATAGCTTCCCTTTTACTTTTAACACTTTGGAGAAAAAATTTGGGTTTCACCACATTTACAGTTTTGAAGCTTTAAAAAAATTGTCTTGATAAACTTAACCAGCGGTTCTTAACCTGTGGGTCACGACCCCTTTGGGGGGGTCGCATGACCATTTTCTAGGGGTCGCCTAATACCATCTGAAAACACAGTAATGAAGTAGCAACGAAAATAATTTTGTGGCTGGGGGTCGCCACAACATGAGGAACTGAGTTCAAGGGTCGTGGCATCAGGAAGGTTGAGAACCACTGAATTAGACAGATATCATTATAAATTGTTGAAAACTTCTATTTCCTTTTCGATAGGTCACACCTACGCGGGTGGAGCTATTTTAGCTTTTGCTCATGATCTACGCACGATGAATTCAGATAAGGGATGGCTGTGCTTCAATGAGGTGCATCTCAATAAAAGAGTCAGCCTGTTTATAAAGGAATATTTAAAGTGAGGAACTCCTGAAAAAAGGGTTTTCTAATTGTAACAAGAATTTCTTTAGAATCCATGAAGAGGATATTTTTTAAATTAGTTGTAGGTTTAAAAAGAAATCAATGATTTGTTCTGAGGTGCCTGCTCTTTGTAAATCTTTTAATGCTATCTTATAAATGAATTACCTGTTTAGTGTTATACATTTATAAATTGGGGTAATGCTTTTATAAATTGGGGTAATACTGTTATAAATTGATTTGCTTCCTGACATTTAAAATTTTTATTCATCCCAATAGTGTCTTTTCTAAGTGTCCCTCTGAAACCTCTTTAGTAACTCAAATCTTTCATTTATGAAGTGCTGCATAGAATATTGTTTCCATTTTGAATTTATTATATAAATTTTGTATTTCTGTTTGAGTTGACTTAAAAACAACTTGTAAATGATCACAACAGAATCAAATTAGGAGGCGGAAAGAACGTGTCAGATGCCCTTGTGTTGGGTCGCAGATATTCCTCTGATGACGCTCACAGAAACCACCTTGTTCATGCCGCCCACCCGAGTCAGTCGCTGTTGGATTTCTCTCTGCAAGTTCTACAGTCCTTTTACGGTAAGGACGGCTACACCCGACAGGGCTTGCTCAACATGAAGAAAGACATTTACAAGCTACCCATCGAAGCCTTTGACAGAGATGTGAAAGACAAGCTTCCCTACATGGCCATACAGTTTATGACAGAATCTCAACTGTCAAATATTGGGGCGTGAGGAGGTGTTTTTTAAAATTTTTTATTAATTCACTTTTATAAACGGATTTACTGTTACATGTACAGGGTAAGGCAAGATACATAAAAAGTGTCAGGACTAGAAAAGATTTTGTGGCTCTTTGTATGCTATAAATACTGTTTGTTGTTCTCAAATTGTTACTTTGTTGACCCCAGGACAGTTAAGTCTGTAAGTGAATATAATTATTTTCCATATTATTAATTGTGTGTAATGTATGTTAGGTAACATACTCAAAGTGATCACTCGAGTTATGGTAAAACTCCCCTCCTCCAATTGGTTTTACTAGCTAAATGTTTTGCTAATCTAAGCTAACATTGACTGACATGACAATGGGTAAACTGTCAATAGATTGTTTTATTTTGATTTAACATTATGATTACCGGTATGGTGAAACAACTGTAATGTGATCATTGATGTAAGTAACTTACTTAGTAAGAGACTCAGTAAAAGATGTTGTTGAGCTCTGAGTATATCTCAGAGGCAGCGTACCCACGTGATTGATGTAGCTGTAATGGAACGGTTGGATTTTTTTTGGGGTCACCCACAACCACCACAGCCCCCATGTTTCACTACACTGCCAAAGAATCCTCTGACTCCTGGTCAAGTACCCCAGGACTATGTCCATGCCCTATTTTACATTAGAGTTTAATTTCCAGTTGGTGCCTTACGTATTACAACTGCATCTACCGTGGGAAGTGCTCATCATGTAAAATGGAAACTATTATTATAAAAAAACACATATGTATATTGATAGTTCCACTGTCGAAAGTCGACCATGACCATTCAAAACACCAACCTGTTGTCGGGGCTGAGTCTGTCTGTGAGTACGCAGATGGCTGATCAGGCCAATTCTGCCACATAAAGCTCTGGCGCAAAAGGTGCAGGGGATGGATGGGACAACGCCAGGTACAGAGTTAACTCTCGCTATTCTGGCTTATCTTTTGTTTTCTGTAGCAGCTGTTATGTCAGCCTCATGTTGCACTGAGCCCTTGTGTATGAAAGAGCGCCACGTGCCTTGATTCTTTGAGGACTGTTCCCACATGTCAGGATCAATGTGAAATGCTTTCAACGGATTCTTTCAGTGTGACGTTTTAAAGACACACTTTTATTTATATATTTAACTTTATAATCGCCTTAACAGTTGTTCCCACAAAAATTATCTTGTTGTGAGTTATAACAATGGTTTTAAATTACACTTCAAAGCTCGCTCAAAAACAAAGATACCTAGCTATTTAAAAAATGATACACATTTGTTTTTGTTAGCAATTGTTGATGTTATCGTACATTATCATTTTGTGAGCGCTTTTGATTTTTTTTTTTTTAAAGGGTCATGGGCTAACACATTATGTAAAACTGCATTATATTTCTATGGGGGAGTTATGCACTCTTAGAACTTGCTTATGACTCTTTTGGTCCTGTTAATTGCATCTTCATTTGGACAATTTAATTATTCCTGCTATATTGTTAATAAATTGCCCATTATTTCTTGTATAACATATACTTATATTTTACTACTTAATGCCTCTTGAGGCATCTAACTTCATTTTAAATGAGGTAAATAAAAATTGAATATATATATTATTGTGTCCATTTAAATATGTAGCTCACTAAAAATATTTGAGATATCAGCAAGTGGTTCCCACTGACCTAACGCTTGCTTGCCTGCCCCTGTTATAGTGTAGCATTAATTATGAGACTATGCCAATAGAAATAAACAGTTTATGAAATGAATTTGGTTTGTAAAAATATTATTTTTTTTACTAGCCGTAAAAACCTGTTTCCTTTAATATTTTTTTTTACTAGCCGTAAAAACCTGTTTCCTTTTATGCTTTCTTAATGAAGGACATTTAGCAAAGACCGGGAATCTTTTTTTCAGTGAAGAACCATTTTTATACATTTTGTCTGCTAATAAAATGTTTTAGGATCTGCAGGCAGGGGTTCCGCAAACTTTTTCCTCTAGTGGCTCACTTAGGACCTCCCCAAGAATGTCACACCCCCACCACAAGTAAATCATACCAAAGTATTGGAAAATTTTGGGCTTGGTTAGTAGAGAATATATTTTTTTATAACTACGATGAAGTAGTGAGAAGTTCATGCAGGACCACTTGCCAAATTTGAATTTGGTGAGCTTAAATGTCGCGCCATCATTCCTCAATTCCTGATATTCCCTTTGAACTTGATTTCAAAAAAATTTGGCCGTCTCATTCTTCAAGTGCTTTCAGAATTTGAAAAAAAATATCACAGAGATTTATATTAGCACAGTTGTTTTTTTAATTAATTTTTTAATAGAGCAGCATAGTAAATGAGGGACAAATCTAATCACTAATTTTATATGTGCACATATTTCGTGACATCTGACTACAAAGTCATATTAACTTGTTAATAAGATTAATTACGTATCAAGTTTATTAAATGGTTGATCTTTCTGTAGGCGCTGCGTTTTTCCCCCCTCCTGCAGCCCTTATGTTGTGACACACCTGGCAGCATCTCGCATGGCACACTAGTGTGCAAGGGCACACCGGTTGTGGAGCTCTGAGACAGAGTGAGGAGGTGTACAACGAGAAGTATGTCAACCTTGAGAGTTGGCCTGATATCATTCTTAGTAAATCATCCGTGTGTTTTGTCAAGATTCATACCCAGTACAATATTCTAGCAAACACCCATCATTTGGCCTCAGAGCGATAGTCAAATAAAAAAACTTGAGTCCAAGGAGGCTAAAAAATTTTGCAGGCAATAAGTAAAACAACTAGTACCATCACTTCACTACTTCACAATGTTTGAGGGGTTTAAAAATGACTTGTCTCATGTTGTGATAACCCTTGGGAAATACTAAGGGTGGTGACAACGTCTCAGTATTGGATGGACATGATTGTTGATCTTTACTCTCCAGCCGACAATTTTTTAAGCGAGAAGCATGTAAGACATGTTAGTAAAAGTGCATTCGTAGTTTTACTGTAAGAAGTGAAACTGGTACATTTTAGGGCACGCTGCACAGTTTGTAGCATATGTGATACAATGTGATGTTCAATGTAAATCTACAACCGCAGGTACAGAAATGAGTCCTACCATCACCATTCACTTTGCTGTGTACGTTGGATACACATTTCTATTATTTTATGGGGATAATCAATTTTTATCTTTTCATATTACTATTACAAGCATATTAGGCTATATTGTATCCAATTATTGAGTTGACTTAAACAATTTTTTATGTCAGTACGGTATTCAAAATTTTATGATTTGTATTTGTAGCGTATGATCTTGTACTTTATGATTAATAGTTTATGATTTATATTTTATAATTTATATGAAATCTGATTTTTGTGAAAGTAATTTATTGTTATTTACATACAAGACTTTAATAGTGTTTGAATAAAATGTGTTTATGTAATTCTTATTACTGACAGTTTTTAAAATTATTAGTAATTGACATTTGTTGTAAAAATGTTTTGTTTTTAGAAACTACAATGACTCAGGCTGACATCTTTGTTTTGTTTGATAGAACTGAATGTTTTCAGGTATTGAACAGCGTCTTGAATAAAAACAATTTTGTTTTCATATCAACTGATCAATTTTTTTTGCTTGTTTTGTTTTTGTTTTGGAATCATTTGTGTGTTTACCAAAACAGCTTTTCCTAGTATTCCTCAGGCCAGAGCTACTCCTGCCACTGTCACATGAGTAATGATCTTAATCTAGGATGTAACCATCTTTTCAAGTCAATTTAGCAGCTGTTTAAGGCTCTATTTAACCAATGCGCCAATGTTAGTTTGCACTTTGTCTTCCCAGAAAATCAATCCTTCATTGGCAAGCAATTCCAAGACAATTATAGTTAACATAATATATGATGCCTGTCCTATTTTCTAAATGTGTAATCTAATTACATCAAAATTTGTGATCTACCTAAAAATTGTCTACACATATTTTATAATTATAACGCATTTTTAAATGTTTGTTATATTCTGCATGGTCATCAAGAAATCTTCAGCCCAAGTATGTTGTCAAGTCTGTTGTCATGTCTTGATAAATCTGCATATATCTGTATCATAGAAGTCTGGACTTTAACATTCTGAGCTCCACCCACTCTCTTTCCATTAATAGGTCCATAATTTAACAACGCCCCGGATGCCATCACTGAGCGCGCATTGAGCATGCTAAAAAGCAGGGATACTTAGGGCTATAAATCAATCAATCAAAGCTGATCACCACCTGAGATGATAAAAACAGGAAACCATTACCGGGGTATTTGTGTTTTTGTCCCTTTTTCAAATAACGAGGTTCAACTACGATAAAAAATTATTATAGACAAATTTCTGATGAAAAGAACAAATTTTTTTTACATGACATCCATGCAGTGTGTGTGTATGAAAAATTATAATTTAAATTACTCTTTGTAGATTTATATGAAATGATCTTATATATATATATCAATATTTTCTTTGTTTGGATAAAACTGAACGTTTCTGAGATTTTCAGTTAAAGTTAAAGCAAATGTTAATATAATGTTAAATCAAGTATATCTCGCACTCTTCCTTCAACTGCTAGAATATGGTGCGATCATCTGGGACCCATTCCTGAAACAAGACGTGGAAGAGATGGAGCGAATCCAATGTAACGCAGTGCGCTTCATCGCACGTGACCACCTGGGCAATGTCGCCTAGGACTCAACATCAGTCGAGAGTTTCAAGGCTGCCCTGGCACCCGCTGGGAGCGGTTAGGATGGCCGCATCGCTTCCCCAACCGTTGCACATATGCCGGTACATGGATGCAGCAACGTACCTTACCAGAATATGTTTATTTCCATACCAATTAGTACATGAATGTGTGTTATTCTCATGCCAATTAGTAATATGTATGTATGCTATTCTCAGGCCAATTAGTAGGCCTACATGTATGTATGCCATTCTCATACCAATTATCATCTGTATGTATGTTATTCTCATTCCAATTAGTATATAATATGTATTTTTTTGTATGAATGTTATTTCCAAGCTAAATTTTATATATATGCTTTGTTTCTCCCGTGCTGATTAGTTATTTTTCCTTGCTAATTCGTCTATATTAATGTGTGTTATTCTCATGCCAATGTATATATTTTTGCGTTTATCTCATGCAAATTAGTAAATATTCTTTCGCCCCAAGCTAATTAGTTAATATAAATCTGTTATTTCCATGCTAATTAGTATATGTATGTGTGTTAATCTCATGCCATGTTCTACGCACCATGTGCTATGTGTCATGTGCTATTTGAGAAAGATTAATTTTGCATGCAGCAAATATTGACTCAAAATGAATGTAGCCGTTGAGTTTCGAGTTAAAAAAAAAAATTGACGATTCTTGTGACTTCTCCATTATTAATAATACCCCCCCCCTACCCCCCCGAAATTTTGTTTGAAATGTATTATTGAAACAATTTTTTGTCCATGACAGGAGTTGGGTGCCTCTAACAGCCATCGTGGTAGCTGCCTTGGCATGGAGATAAAACAAATTTACTCTAATAAATGCATGGAAATAACACACAATAAATATACATATTGGCATTGAAACACAAACTCATAATTATTGTGCATGGAAATAATACACAGTGATATGCAAATTTTAATGTAAATAACACACATACTTATACTAATTGGCATGGAAAGAAAACACATTCATATACTAA